CCAAAGTACACATTGGTGAAGGTCCTAAATGGATGACCAAGGTGGGAGGTGATTGGAGGATGCAAAGGAAGTAATCAATTGCAGAGAAGCACCAAAGGAAGACCAAGTGGTGGTGTGATGGCTTGAAGAGGTAAGGGAGAGAAAAATGGGAGAGAAAAAAAATGACCTGCTTTACATACAGATAGAAATAGACAACACTTGAGTCCACATAATCTTTCATGTTTGTTTTACACTCTTACTTAAAACTCTTCATCACTTTCTAAAGAATAGACTAAACATCACCTCCTGGAAGTTCAGAAAGGTTATTTTGGACTCTCTCCTGGTAGTCACCTAGTTGGAAAATACACAGAGCCAGAATACCATCCAGGTCAGTCTGACATTGGAGCCCCAGTTTTATAGAACATACTTGTTTATAGAAACAATTACGTGTCTACATTAAATCAAGTGCTTTAAATGGGAACATTTAAAATGAGAGTCAACTAGCAAACACTTAAGTCACACATAACTGACTGACAAAGCCTAGGTATTATATTGAAAGCAGACTTTAACTATGATAGGCTTTAACTATGTAGGGCATGAAAAAAAAGACTCCAAGACTCTAATTGTGTGGCTCTTTCTTTTAAAGTACAGGGATACTATGTGTGTCAAGTTAATAAACATCAGTTGAGTCTTACAAGATGAAGTTTAAAAATGTGAATGATCCTGACTCGGAGCTTAGAGACAACCACAGAATTCATTAGGTCTGTTACATTTTTGCTTGGGGTGGAGGGTTAGGGGTAATCTAGGTTAGTCCACCTGGCTGCAAAATAGACTTTGCAATGTTAATATAGTGCACTGCCTCATTATTATTCCAGTCTCAACGGCCTAAACAAGCTGGGTAAGAGAGATGTGCATTTTGTTAGCACAACAAGGCATCAATTTTGAATTTAAAAAAATTAAGAGTCTTTAGCTCCCTTTCTGCATGGAGAGCAGAAAGAGCTTCTCTTTTTAAAAATTAAATATTATTATATAATATTATTAATATATTAAATCCTTGTTAAACTTTTAAAAAGAAAGAAAAAAAAGACCATTTGGTAACCACGAACACGCACATACACACCCCCTTAACAGGAGGAACTGTATATGCCTGGAAGGCTAATCACATCTTCCCATGTATCCTACTTGTCTGTAGGTTTTTTTTTTTTTGGTCGGTCATGGGGCTTGAACTCTGGGCTTGGGCACTGTCCCTGCGCTCTTCAGCTCAAGGTGAGCACTCTACCACTTGAGTCACAGCATCACTTCCAGTTTTCTAGTGGTTTATTGGAGATAAGAGTCTCATGGACTTTCCTGCCAGGGCTGGCTTGGAACCGTGATCCTCAGATTTCAGCCTCCTGAGTAGCTAGGATTACAGGTGTGAGCCACTGGGGCCCAGCATTTGTCTGTAGGATTTTTAGGGGAATTTCCATTCACCAAATTAGACTATGAGGGTTCCTTAAAAAATTACCTACTAGTTTGTTCCCAAGGAGAGGATGACAGCAAAAAAAAAAAAAAAGAAGAAGAAGAAGAAGCCAGTATCATTTTAGGTTTTCCTTTTACTTCCCATGTTTCTGGGTATAAGAGGAAAATGTCGGGGGGCGCGGGAGGAGGATGGGAAGGGATGGGAAGGGGAAACAAAGGAGGAGGCTACAATGCTTGATAAGAAATGTACTCATTATCTTGCCCATGTAATTGTAACCCCTCTGTACAGTATTTTCACAATAAAAAAAAAAGAGGAAAATGTCTTTATGGCTGCATTTAATTGAGTTTCACAACACAGGAGCTAGAATCATCTAATGGGATGAACACTTTCTGCACAGAAAAATTGCTTTTGCTTTTCCTTCATTACAGCAGACTTCTTGCAGCCTTAAGGACAGGCTCAAAATCCCATCAGCCCCCTTGAAAAAAGTTTTATAAGTTTGCCAAGATTTCACTAGTTCTCTTGATCCCTGGCTGTTTCAACAATAAAAATCCTAACAGTCAAGATATCTAAACTGGGATCTCAACAAATCCAACATCAGTGGTAGAACCTGTGTTCAGGGTCTCCTGAAGTTCCAAGCCCTCCTCCTTTTTTTACTAGCTCTTGCCCCACAGGCTCACTTTAAATAATGGATACAGCCAGGTGTTAGTGGTTCATGCCTGTAATTCTAGGTACTCAGGGAGCTGAGGATAGTGGTTTGAAGCATGAAAGTCCTTGAGACTCTGATATACAATATTAACCAGCAAAACAAAAAACAAACAACAATAACAAAACAGAAGTGAAGCTGTGGCTCAAGTGGTAGAACACCAGCCTTGCACAAAAACGCCAAGCAAGAGCATGAAGCCCTGAGCTCCAGCTCCAATACTAGCACACATGCACCAAGTATATATGTGCATACATGTACACACACAGAATAATCGATACATATAACGTCTAACTTAGTATTACATGGTCTACCTAGGAATCAGTTTTCTTCCTGCTGACAAAACCATGTAGCAGTTTTAACAGCCTAAACAGAATTTTAACTTAAATAAAGTCCATTCATGTAAGAGGGTGAAGACAGGTGTGGAACTGAAGCAATGGCAGATATAGCAAAGATAAATTAAGTCTGCAGTTCAGTCCCCTGCTGCTGTAGTGATTTGCATCTCAGTAGTGAGGCACAGAGGTCTGCAACGGAGGTAAAGAACAATGAGTTTTGCAAAGTTCCCTTGGAGTTTAGTCAACAGCTTAAATGAGCTCACAGTGAGCCAAGCACCCCCTCGAAGCTCACTAGCCTTGTTTACACGAAGATCACCATGACTGTAAGAAGAGAACCAGGTCTGAACATCTGTCTTCTTGAAATCTCTTCTGTCAACTGCAACATTAACTTTATAGACTCTTTCCCAATTACAAGTGGCATTAGAAAAAGACCTCTCTTGCAGTTAGCTATGTGAATAAAGTTTTCTAACTACAGGATGGTGTTAATGTTTATGTTTAATGTTCCCTTTCATAACATTGTTATGAAACTTTTAAAGGGAATAAAGGTGCATTAAATGGCCAATGGGGAGGAGTGGGTTGCTGGAAATATTATTCCACCAAACATTTGTACAAACTTAACTCATTCTCTTAAATTAACAGGTATTCAAGGGAAAATGGACAAACATACCAGGGCTCATTACTTCTGGAGCAAGTAATTCCTACTTTCAATGAAGACTGAACACGCAGATCCTGCATAAGCGGCTTTCTCTATCTGGGTGGCCTCTGGATTTTGGAGGGAGCAGGCCAGAAACAGCCCACTCTGCCCCGTGAACTCTGTACATGGAAACCGATACCGAAATACCCAGTTGTTAGACAACTGAGGAGTTGGTGGCTCCAAGAACAACTTCAGGTATCTCCTACCAGAACCCATAGATGCCAGGGAGGAGGAGGTACTGTGTTAAATGGCACATCTCCCGGAGGAGAGGGGAGGGAGTCTGGAGTGGAGCCTCGCCGCGATTAGATGAAAAGTATCTCAGGGGGGCAAGACTTCTCCGAGGGGGGGGGGCTGGCAGAGAGGGGAGCGTGGGGCTGCAGCCTCCGGGCTTCAGACCCGAGCCCTCATTGGGGTTCATCTCCGCCGAGCTTGCTCAGAAGAGCTAATTTCGCCCACAGCCAAAATCAGCAACAGCAAATTAGACTGCCAACAATGGCGAGGGCGCCAGCTCCGTACGGCCGCAAACTCCGGAGCGGCGGCGCGAACACGGACTTTCCTCTCCGGGCAGCGCTCCTGGAGAGCGGGCTCGGCCACCGCCGGGCCACCGGCCCCAGGGTGTGTGTGGGAGGCGGGCGGCGCAGCCCGGGCAACCCCGGGAGGGTGTCGGTGCCCGGGAGCCAGAGCCCGAGCGCCCCAGGCCGCGCGCGGCGGGGTCCTCCCAGCGTCCCGACCCCCACGGGGGGCGCCCCCGGGCAGGGAGGGCGGCGGAGCGCCCGCCGTCGGGGAGCCCCCGGGTGTGCAGCCCAGGCAGGGCCCGGAGGCACTGGCTGGTCGGGCTCGGGGATGCCCACCCCGGCGGCGGTGTCCGGGGCTCGGGGATGCAGGCTGGGCTCCGACGCCCCGCTCCTCAGCCCATGCGGGCGGGTCAGCGTGGGACACGCACGCGCGGACCCCCGCAGCCGGAGACGCAGGCTGCTCAGGTGGGGAGGGGGTGAGAGTTAGTAGAGGCCCGGTCCTCTCCCGCCCGGCGCCCCCTCCGCCCCCCAGACCCGCGCCGCTCACCCGGCGCTTGCAGCGGTGTTGCCGGCCGGGGTCCGAGTAAGTCCGGTCCACGGTGAGCGCCGTGTCGCTGCCCGGCATGTCGGCGCTCGGGTTGGGAACTTCGCGGTCTCCCGGGGCTGCCGCGCGGCAGTGCTCGGGCTCACCCCGGGAGCCGCAGCCGAGGGGGCTGAGGGCGCTGAGGGGGCGGCGCGGGCGGCTGCAGCTGTTGGTTGACACTCGCGCGTCCGCCTTGCGCCGCCGCCAATGCCGCCTCCCGGGGTTAGGGGTGGGGCTAGGGTGGGGAGGAGGAGGCGGGCCGAGAGCTGAGGCCCCGCCCCCATCAGGCTGCCCACGGCCCCGCCCCGGCCCCGCCCCCTGGGCCCCGCTGGGCGCCCGATCCAGCCTGGGCAATTTCTCCGGTTGCCTCCCACTGCTCCTCCCACTTTGGTGGAGACTTGGTCCCGCCCCATCCTCCCCCCACGCGGCCCTCTCTCTCCACAGATGAGCGACGGTTACATGGGTTTATTGGCTTCTTTGGACGCTTATGGTACAAGATGGTTTTGAGAGCAAGAAGTTGACTCTTGTCTGAAGTGCTTCCAAAATTTTAGGCTCTCTCCCCATTCAATAGACGCTTACTGACTGGGCAGCAACCATGAAACCAGACTGTGGACCAGGGCCCAGAGAAGGGAAAACAGAAAACAGGCTGTTTGTTCTCTCCTTATGATTCCTCTGAGCACACTTCCACTAAGATCCCACTGGGTTGTGTGTTTTAATTTTGCATAGCTGACTCACCGAGTTGTAAGCTACTTGAAAGTCCGGACATGGCTTTTCATTTTCGTATTCTCTATTTCCCAGTGAATGCGCTCAACCCACAGGAGTTTGGAATCTGCAAAAAAAAGGCTTGATTGGTGAGCAATTAGATACCATTTTTCTGAACATAAGTTCTGAAGACCTGGTCTGTTCAGGCAGGATGTAGCAGTGGGAGCGGGGTTTGGCTGGTTCAAAAACACTGTTTTGATCAAAGGAGTGGCACCATTTCCCTTTACACTTACAACATATGCAAATATACTTACAATATAAACTACTTAAGATAGATTAAAGATGTAATGAAAAGCACAATTTAAATTGTCGTAAGAAACTGGAAGATCATTTTGACCTTAAGTCATAAAAAGCAGGTCACAGAAAGCATAAACTGTAACCTATAAAGGTTGGATAACACTAAAAATTTTCACCTTCTGTATGACTAGAAATAAAGTGAAAAAGAAAAGTCACAGACTGAACTTCAGCTAAAAAATTAGGATGTGGAATTTCACAAATAGAAAAATAAGCAAACCACAGAAAATTACTTGCAGTATGACTCTCTTCACACACACACACACACACACATATATATATATACATGGAAAGAGAGAGAGAGAGATTAGCCTGGTGTGGTGATGCATGACTGTAACCCTAGCATTTATTATTTTTTGGGGGGGGGTTCGGTCGTGGGGCCTGAACTCTGGGCCTGGGTGCTGTCCCTCAGCTCTTCAGCTCAAGGCTAGCGCTCTACCACTTGAGCCACAGCGCCACTTCCAGCTTTTTGCTTATGTGGTGCTGAGGAATTGAACCAGGGCCTCAGGCATGCAAGGCAAGCGCTCTACCACTGAGCCATCTTCCCAGCCCTGTAATCCTAGCATTTAGGAGGCTGAGAAAGGAGGATTCTGAATTTGAGGACAGCTTGAGCTCCATAGCAATACCCTAGTTCAAAGTATATAAAAGAGGAAGAGAGAGAATGAAAGATTACAAAAAAATACTAATAAAGATATAAATCAGGTCACAGGCTCATACCTGTAATCCTAGCTATTTAGAAGGCTGATATTGGAAGAACATGATTTTGAGCCAGTTTGCACAGAAAACGCCCCAAGACCCTATTGCCAAGAATAACCAACAAAGAGCTGAGCTAGAAGCATTGCTCAGGTGATAGAGCCTAAGTCACACAAACAACCAAGCAAGCATGGAGCCCTGAGTTCAAACCCTGGTGTGAGCAAAAAAATGATGGATGGTATATAGGGTATAGTTATTCACATACATACAAGAATATATTCTTACAGAATCATTAACAAATTTAAAAACAATAAATGGGATGGTTTTATCCTTCATCTTAGAATTCAAGTCACTCAAATAAATAAGTATATTAGTGCTTTTTGCTTTTGTAAAAATAAAGCTGGTTATTGTTTACTTTAATCATTACACTCACTGAATCTTCCAAGATCTATTTGACAATATTTGAGTCCATCTCTGAGTTCCCCCCATTTGTAGGTGATCCCCACTGTTTTGTATTTAGCTACTTAGCGCTCTAAGAAGTATAGTGAGAGAGAGAGAGAGAGAGTGTGTGTGTGTATGTGTGTGTGTGAGAAAGAGAGAGAGAGAGAGAAAATAAGCTGTATGTGGATACATTTAAAGAGCCTGTCCTATGTGAGGTCTCTGAGAAATCAAGAAGATAGGGACAGGGTTTGGTCAATGCTCCACCAAGCATCTACTTTGCATTCATACTATGGTCTAAGGAACATCATCCTGGAATGTTGACCCTCAGTGACCAAGATTAATTACAGCCTTATCAGGCTCACTTAAATTTCAATTAACAGGGATGTTCTTTTTTAGATCATTTAACTTTATTTCATCAGCTTGATGCCCAAAAGCTGCTCTGCTGGGCACTCAGACAAAATAAATATTAAATGTACAAATTAAATAGCACAAGAGCAAGCTCCCCAGAAATGAAAGAAAACAAGCAGTACCCATAGCAGCTGGCTTTCCTTTTGGGAAGGGGAACCCAAGGGGGAAAATAGACTTTCCTTCCTTCAGAGGGAACACCAGTACCCTGGATTTTGTTTAAGTAGAGAGAAAGAGATGTGAAAGAGGGGGAGAGGAGAGCAGAGAGGAGGAGGGAGATAGGGAGAGGGAAAGAGAGAGGGAGGAGAGGTGTGGAGGGGGGGGTTGAGAGAGAATAGCAAATTTATCCCAATATAAGGATTCTGGGCCTCTGATGCATCTCCAAATGCCTCACTCTGGAAAAAAAAACAGTAAAATAACACTTAAAGTAACAAAAGTAACAATAAGAAATACAAAGGTTCACGCCTAGCGTTGTGAAATAAGAATGCACTTCCAAAGAGTAAGAGCACAAGGCAGCATAGGCTAAGCACGGAAGAAGTGGAACAGGCTTAAAGTTTAGAATGATAAAACAAGCAGAATTACACCTGCCTTCTGTAGTAAACACTAGTTGGGACCTTCAGCTCTACTTTTAACTGGGTGGTTTAGTCTCTGGCTTTCCTCTCCAGGGAGAGGCACAGGAGCCAGCCTTGGCCAATCAAGAGTCACTGTGACTTGTGCAGAGGCAGGCATGTGAACTAGTCAGAGCCAATCAGCATCACCCTCAGACTTTGGTTGCTGGGAAAGAGCAGTAAGCCTATTGCCATGGTGGGTTTCTGGGAAAGCAGAGCCATGAAATGAAGCAAAGTTCCTTGCTGTATTGTTTGCTCACTAGATCCTGCTCTCTCTTCCCTATCTCTACATGACAAACTACTCTATAATGGATTGGCTTACAACAGTAACCAACATTGATTTGCTCATGGCAAATGAATGCTCATGGTAACCCTCCCAGAAAGTGGCCTTTCTCTCACACTGGCAATGCTGAGATGGGAGTTTCCAAGATAGCTTCGTTTATGTCAGAATAAATAGGAATGGGATGGCTGGAATGGCTGGACCCAGCCAGGCCTCAGTCCTGGTATATGTATACACATACATACACACACACACAGGTGCATGTATGTGTATATGTGTATGTGTGTATGAATACATAATACATATATGTCAGTGTACTAGAGATTGAACTCAGGGCCTTTGCTCTCACTTGGCTCTTTTACTCAAGACTAGTACTCCACCAGTTGAGCCACATCTCCATTTCTGGCTTTTTGTTAATTGGAGATAAGGGTTTCTCAGATTCTTCTACTCAGGCTAGCTTTGAACTATAATGTTCAGATTTCAGCCTCCTGATTAGCAAGGATTACAGGCATGAGCCACAAATGCCTGGCTTGTTATATATTTTAAATTAAATATTTTTAGTCACTTATCTTCCAAGGGGCCTCTTTCTCCATCAGAGGGAAATACCACTTCCCTCTCACTCTACTGCTAAGAGAGGTCAAGCACGCTATGTCATACAGTTGGAGAGATTGCCAGCTACCATCTTGCAGTGGATCTACTACTAGCTATGGTCTAGTTGTGAATATACCTTCTTTTCAGTGATATCAAACAGTGTGGTCCTCTTTTGTTTAGACCACTTAAAGATGAGTGTTTCTCTCCTGTAACCCAAAAATCCTGGCCAGTACAACATGTAATGCTAGGCTCAGGCAGAAAGAAGACAAAGAAAAGGATGGCATTTCAAAAGTAGGCAAGATACTTGGGAGGCAAAGATTGAAAAGATCTCAGTAGGGGGCTCAGAATGGGCAAGAAGTTAGCAAGACTCTATCTCAACCAATAAGCTGAAAGTGGTGGGTGACACATACCTGTGATACTAGCTGTACAGGAGGTGGAAGCAGTAAGCAGCATAGTCTGAGGCCCAGGCAAAAATAATTGAAGTAGCCAGGCACCAGTGGCTCATGCCTATAATCCTAGCTACTCAGGAGGCTGAGATCTAAGGATTGCAGCTCAAAGTCAGCCTGGGCAGGAAAGGCTATGAAACTCTTATTGCCAATAAACCACCAGAAAGCCAGAAATGGTGCTTTGGCTCAAGTGGTAGAGCACTTGCCCTGAGCTGAAGAGCTGAGGGACAACACTCAGGCCCAGAGTTCAAGCCCCATGAGGAACAAAAAATTAAGCAAAAATGTGCTGGGAGCATGGCCCATGTGGTAGCATACCTGCCTGGCAAGCTGGAGGTCCTGAATTCAAACTATAGTACTGCCAGAGAGAGAAAGGGAGGTGAGGAAGGAGGCAGAAAGCAAAGAGAAATAGGAGGAGAGAGAAGAAGGGGGAGAGGAAATAGACAGAGACAGAGAGAAACAGAGAGGTAGAGATAGAGGGACCGAGAGAGAAGGCCAGAAGTCTGGACAACATGGATAGGGAGTATGAACAGCACAGAATTCTATCAGGGGCATGAAATGTTCTGAGGCTACTAACCAGCCCCTTCCTGGTCATTCTAGATGACCTCTTTTGAACTTTTATATTATTATCTGTTCTACTCAGTTAAACTATAAAATTTACATTCATGTATTATTTGAATATTTTAGGTTACCTGAGGGAAAAAGGGTCTCAGCTTCTAGGTAAGTATGTATATCCCTGATAATTCTCAACATGGCATTTGAGACATACTTGCTCAGTGAATGTGTGAATCAATCAATTCAACATTTACTAGTATCTACTCCTTTCCTAGACACTAGTCTTTTTTAAAAAATGACTAAGATGTAAGCAAGATATAGTTTTTGCCCTCACTGGGGTGGAATGAATAATTCATAATGATGACAATTTGTTAGATGATGAATGTTATTGAATTTCAGATGTTGAGGAGGTATTGAAGTTTGAGAATTCTCCAGTTATTTATTGAGCACCTTTGATATGACACACTCTGTTCTTGATGCTAGGAATATAATGAGTAAGACATCCTGAAGAGACATCCCTAAAATCCACCTTCATGCCAAGATAGCCATTTCCTTGGCATAGTCGTAGGATAAAGGAAGGAAGCAGACTCATGCTCCTCATCTCCTTCAGGTCCCAGCTTATCATGACCTCACAGGAGTAGAAGAAAGGAGTCAGAAGAAACTCTGATTTTGTTAATGAAAATCATTTCTAAAGGAAAATGATTATTTCTTTCCATGTTCCATTTCAACAGTACATGGAAGGTACATGGGCAAAGGA